TAATCAATCTCACTAAAGTTCTTATTTTTAACTCACAGAATATACATATGGACCAATTGAGGATGAGACTAATATATAGGGTATTGATCAATTGAGGATGAGATGTATATCTGTTTTGTTGTGGTTGACCTTAATTTGTTGGCAGGCCTTTCATAGCCATGAAATTGGATAATGGAGATTTATATCTCCATATACTGGATTGCATTAGATGTCTTGGACTCTACAATGTCTCTGAAGCATTAACTGTTGTATGTTAACACATATAGAAAAGTTTGAACTTGTGTATGTTCTCTGTGTGCTGTGGGTCATGGTGGTAGCATACAAAGAGAGTTGAGACACCTACTCCCTCAGCTAATTGTCCAGGCAGTAAAATGAACCTCTTCTCGGGTCTCATGTCACGAAGGCAGCTATACTCTGCCTTCACCCTTTTCTTCCTTTTTAAAGGGAGTACCCCTGACCTTCTGTGACCACTCCCTTAGGCCTCTATCATCAACTCCTGGGACTCTTGCATCCAGTCCTTCTTGTTTAATCATACTCTTTATCCCACCAGGCTGAGAAAAGAGGAACAGGAGGAAGAGGAAGAAGTAAAAGAACCCTTGCCAGACTCATTGGATGAGGACCATAAAACTTCCTGCAGTCAGTGTGAACTGCCTGTTGTCCACCATCATCCCCAAAATAGTGCTGACCTGTTGGGTGAACGTGAAGTCACTTCTTCTCTGGTTGCAACTCGTGAGTATGCCATTAAAAAGAGAACTGAATTCAATAGCCATATTTCTGGGTGTTCAGTGAGAAATTCAGGGTGACGAACACAGGACTAACCAGAAAGGGGAGGTTGCAGAGATTATACCAAACTGACAGGCACTACTGACACATGTGTATAGCAGGGGTCTACATGAGTCCTGTCTGCTAAACTAGGCCAGCTGATCTTTCCTAAAAGTTCTTGCTAATTTTTTTCTTGCGAATTTTTTTTCCAAGTTGAAGGTACAATTTTATTTTTTTCCAGCTTTTATTCCTTTAACATCTTAACAAAAGAAATTTTCCCAAAGTTTAAAAAATCTTTGAAAAATATACAATTTCATATTATTTACACAATAAGTACAGGTTCCAATATCATACAAATATTGTAATGTTAGAAACACAGTTGGAAGGCATGATGTAACTCACTGCTTTTAGATGAAAGACTAATGGACAAGTTCTCATATTTCAACTATCTTTGTTACTTGTTATCCTGATATATGAACTGTTAGGCACCTGAGAGGCTGGAAGACTCCTGAACATGAGATGAGCTTCAATACCTTCTATTTTGTTTGATCTTATTTATTTTTAAAACTTACCACACTTATCTCTTTACAACTTTGCTTTATTCACAGCTAACTTTATTCTCACTACCCTAAATGACCAAATAATAACCACATGAGCTGTTAATGTATACATGAATCTAAAAATCAAACATAAAAATGAATAGCCAAGTTATATAAGATATATATTTAATCCCAGGCAAGTCCCTATGGCTTCATGAGCAACTTAGATTCTAGAGACAGGTGTCAACACTTCGGTTTCCATGCTCTGAACTATATTTTTAAAAAACATAAAAAAGGACTGACAATAATTGGAATAGTTCATCTCTTTATATTCAAGAAACCTACGATTAAAAATTCTAAATTATAGTTTTATTTATACTTAAAAATACATTGGAAATTCTGCATATGCCCATGATCAAGCTTATTTCCAATGCACATTACTTCAATTTTGATGACATGGTTTGTTCTGACAAGTCCTTTTACAAGCTGAACACCAAAATAGGGAAACTCCTGTAGATTTTCGCTGGCATTGCCACAGATGATGTGTATTGCTTCCTTGCTAATGGTGATGGGTGACTCTCATCTGCCTTTTATCACCTGAACAGTTTTCCGACCATAATGATAATAACTGTAAGCTGATGCAGCTGTGGTGAAAGCTGTAAAATACCAAAGCATCTGAAGGTAAATGCTATCAACCATAATTGAAAACTGGAGCTGCCAAAGAAGCTGCCACCAAGATTAACTGAACTGCTGTGTTTACCTTGCTGATGAACGTTGGTTTTAATCTAGCAGTAGCATAACAAGGATTGAAATACTTAGCTAGCTAGTGTTCGCGGTGTTGGAAGAGTTCGATATCTGACATAAAAAACAGCAGCAATCAACATTACATCTCTTGAAATTATCATATAAGTAAGTGGAACTGGAATAAGATCTGCATAGGTCAAGCTAACATATAAGATACTGATAAGTATTTTATCAGCAAGTGGATCAAGAGCACTTCCCAAAGCTGACTTTTGATTGGCCCAGTTTCGAGCCATAAATCCATCCAACAAATCATCGGTTAGCCCAGCTAAAGCAAAAACTCCTAGTGCAACATTAAAATCTTCTTCAATAATCAAATATCCCAAAATTGGAGCCAAGCCAATTCTTGTCATCGACAACATATTTGGGATTGTCCATGGATTTTCATACGGACTGGGGGCGCTCGCCAGGACCCACTCGCCGCCCATCACCTCCGCGGCGGCGTCCCCTCCTGCCGCAGGCCC